AACCGCTGACCTGCTGATCTAGCAGTAGCCTGCAGTGCTGCTTTTAACCACTGCGCCACCTTGGCTCTTAAAAAGAGGGAAGAGGGGACTAGCTTTAATTAACCATTCCCTTTAACCTACCAAACTCTCTTTGACTTGCATGGACAAATGTTTATCACTGATGAAGATCCAAGGGGGTGGGGGAGTGGCCTTAGTTACAAGGCCAATGTTTCAATTACTTGTGAATTTTAGGCTGATTTCTCAAATAATTCTGTTTATATAAATGAAACAATAGGTGATAGATTATGCTAGCAATCCCTTTTGTTTTGCTAATATTATATACTATTATGCAAATTAATGATTTAAAACTCAAAAAAGGAATATTGTAATGAAGCAGAAAAATTATAAGACACATAAACAGCTTTGCAAAGAAACTTGGGAAGCAATTCAAAACCCAGAGTTTAAACACCCATGAAAATCAGTATAATTGTATCTTGGAAAGTTTCTAGGAGAGAGTGTGGTAGAAAATTAACATCAAAGCATAACAAAATACAGAGCATCAAGATGGGAAAATTCTAAATAGGACTTTGCTTATACAATCTGTCTTAGAAAATAAATATGACATGAAAGCTGATTAATTTACAATCTGGTTATGTTTGAAGTTAAACAAGTTCATGTTTTGTTTATTTATTAGATTTTTATCCTGACTTTATTACTTTATAAGTACCTCAAAGTAATGGACATACATAATACTCTTTCTTCCTTCTTATTTTCCCCTCATCAACAACCCTGTAAGGTGAGTGGAGCTCAGAGAAAATGACATTCCCAAAGCCACCCATACGGGTTTCATGCTTAAAATGTACGAAGTTAAAACTCAAGTTTCCTGGTTTCTAGCCTGGAGCCCTAACCATTTGACCGACCTGGGGTGTTTTGTTTTGTTTGGGGTTTTTTTTTGGGGGGGGGGACGGGGGACAATTTGACATCAATCATTCTTTTTGCTTTCATTATTCCTATATATGAGGCAGTGGTGGGTTCCGGATCCCGTTGCAACCGGTATGGTGCAATGTGGCCCGGCGTCCCCCACATGCACGCATGCAGCGTACCCATGCGTCCTTACCTCCACAATGCCTCTGTGATGCTCCAGCTGCTTGGAGGAGCATTGTGCAGGCACCGTACACTCCATGCATGTGCGCAGAAGAGCTTAAATACAAGTAAGGAGCTCAGGAGGGCGGGTGGGCCCACCAGAGCTCTCGGCAGGCACTGGTACACCCGTACCAGAGCTTACCGCCTGTAACCCACCACTGGTATGAGGTGTATTAATAATCTACCAGTAACACTAATGCTATATGACAATAGCTTTCAGCTTTTTTCATGTGTGTGTGTGTGTAGATAGATAGATAGATAGATAGATAGATAGATAGATAGATAGATAGATAGATAGATAGATAGATAGATAGATAGATAGATATTTTAGAGAGGTAAGATTTGATGCTTAAAAAAAAGAAAAACATTACCTGTATAATTTGGAATAGGAACCTTGAAAGGTTTTGATAAAATGCTGCGAATAAAGGCTTCCTAGAATTTAAAGTGATAGTCATTAAAATATCATTTAAGCTCATCAATAAGTTATCTTAGAGAACATTGCACTGACATTACTAGATTTATATTGAGGTAAATACATTTAAAATTGAAGAGATATGTGTTATTAATTATAGTGGGAAGTTTTAACAGATCTGTTATATGTGATTTATGTCTCATTCCAAGATTTAAAAAGTCCAGATCTTTTTTCATAATATATAAATTATTTTAAGGTACATAATTAAAAAGCAACTTAGATCTCCCATCATACAAGAGATATGTGAATTCACCCTATGATGAGGTCTCTCTAGCATCATTAATAAAAGAGATATGATCCAATAGGAGTAAACTAGAGTCATTAATAAAAGAGATATGATCCAATAAGAGTAAAAGAATTGTGCCAGATCTTAAGAAATCATAAATGTCACTTACATGTTTACTACTATCAAGGCAGTGAATTCGATTGGTTAACTGAGTCAAAGGTTTTCGGAAAGGAGATGAATAACATTCCTGGATATCAGTCTTGGTGTTACGTTTCTGCCTCTTTGGAGTCTAGAATAGATCAGACAAATTGCATCAAGATCTGGCTGTCTGCAACAAAGCATAACACTTGAGAATCTATCTGAACTCTTGTTTTTTAGCAATCTATAAAGCATGCCAACAAACAACTACAGTACCAAATGATTATTATTATCACTACTACTACTTATTGGAACTTCATAAGCCTTATAAAGAAAGCCATAAAGATCTACTTGTAAAACTTTGTTCACTGACCAGCCTATATCAGAATTTATATTTGATTGCTCCATAGTCAGATCTGAATAGATCTGACATATCACTCATCCATAGAGTACTGTAGATCTAATTTCACAGGGAGGACTATTAATATCTAGAGAGTTCAATAAAAGGAAAGGATAAGACAACTGATTAAAGAGTCAAATCTAGTCAGTGCCTCCTTGGAAACTACACATTGGCCTCTTTGAATGCACTGACAGAAGAGAAGCAGCATTTAAATAAATTAATTAAGAAAGGATACTTACTGCTTCAGGACACCAGTCCTCATCCTCTCCAGACCCATCACCTCCAGGTTTTCTCTTGGCCAGCTGACTGGGAGCTAAACTTCTCCTCTACCAACAGAAACAATTAAACCTGTTTATTCTGTAGAATACATTGACCATAATTCAGAAACATATGAATACATTTATAAAGTAGTTGGGCTATACCTCAGTCTTAAAACACATTTATTATCATCATTATCATCATCTACAATACCAGTCTAACAATGGGCAGCAGATGGCAGCCATGGCCCATAGGGCCTCTGTGCATTGTGCATCAATTGCATCTATTTCTGAATTAGAAAACTAGCTCACAATCATTTATGTCTTAGATACCTCGGGTTAAGACTTTTGCACTGCACTGTACATGGGGTTGCCCTTGAACACCACCCTAAACTGCAACTGGCCAAAGCACAGCACACATAGTGAAATAATGGGCACACCTCACTATGTCCATCTATCATAACTGTTTTGTGAGTTGTATAGGCTCCCAATAGACTCCTAGGTGCAATTCAAGGTGCTGCTAATCACTTGTAGAGCCCTACATGGCAGAGGTTACTTGTGGGCCTGTCTCCCAGTCATCTCTGCCATCCAGAAGATGGCACAAAGTGGGTAAGCTCCAGCTTTTCCTCTTTTAAACAATGCCACCTAAAGGAACCAAGGAAGGCATGCCTTTTCAGGAAATTCATCTGTCCTTTGGAACAAACTCCCCCTCCAAGTTCAGATGTCAATACCCTCTTGCTCTTCCAGGGAGCCCTAAAGTCTTATGGACCAGGTGTAGATGGTAGAGGATCTGTAATGTTACCTATATGATTTTATCTCCAACCTCAATTGCGTTTTCTTTACGTTTTTGTTTTTGGGAGGTGGGGATGGTAGTGGTTCCTTCTTAATTATTTTTTCTCCTTTGTACACTGCCCAGTATCACAAATTCTGAGCGGGACGGCTTTAAAAAGTCTTAATAAATAAATAAATCTTGGAGGCTCCTTTCCCTGGGAAGCCCCGCTTACCATGTTCTCCCTGCAGAGCTAAGTGCCATCTGCGCACAGCTTTAGGTATAGGGAAAGAAGACGCGTTGCACCGGCGGCATTTAAGAGTCGCGGGGAAGGAAATTCGTGCAGGGAAGGGAAACGACCCACCGTCGCCCCGGGACAGAGAGAAACGCTCCAGAGAAATCACGAAGCTTTTCAGAGCTGGAAAGAGCAGGAACTGCTGTCCGCAGCTCCTTAAGCTACAATGGAGAGGAAGAGAGGTCCGACCGCGGCAATTAAAAGCGGAGCGTCTGGCGACAGCTCTCCAACAAAGAGGAAAAAAAGGAGTCGGATGGTAGACCCGCAAAGTCTCCCAGCAACCACGCTCGAGAAGCGGGACGGCTACCCGAAAGCGCCGGATCCTTTTTTCCCCCTGGTTGGATTTGCCGCGCAAAGGGATCCGGGCCTTTGCCCCGCCCCCTCAGCTGAACCTAGGCACGGCCGATCGCACGCCGATCAGACAGCTTGCATCGATTAGCTCTGGGTTCCTTCCAAGCAGAGGGGACGGGCTCTTTCAAACTGGTCCCGAGCTTGGAAAGGGAAGGAAGGTAACCGAGCAAGCCAAGTTTGCCAGCAACATCAGAGCCAGCGTGAAGGGCGTGACAGTTTAGGTCAGGGATCGCCAACCTTTCGGATCTCAGGGACCACTAAACTCATAATTTTAGATCCTGCGGACCAAAGATAAATCGTATTTAGTGCAATATAAAAAATGGAAATAATTATTCTGCGGACCACCAAAATTTTCTCACGGACCACCAGTGGTTGTGTGACCGCTGGTTTAGATCAGTGTTTTGCAAACTTGGTAACTTTTGTAGATGCCCTACAATAAATAAACATAAAGTAAATAAAAATAAACCCCAGAATTCCAGCTGGGGAATACTGAGAATGGAACGTGTTAAAAGTTGCCAAGTTAGTAAACATTGGTTTCAAGATTATTCGGAATTGAAAGGCTTAAGAGCCTCCTCAGTTATAAACTCATGGGCTGGTCATCCCGGACATGTCACCTTCTGTAAGGTTATTGTGAGACTAATGCAATAAAAATAATATTGGGATTGGAATGGGAAGATCAGAATTTGTTTACAGTCCTGCAGAATACAGCTGGTTTGGTGCAGTGGTTAAGGCACTGAGCTAGAAACTGGGAGACTCAATTCTAGTCTCACCATAGACTCAAAGGGACTGGGTCACCTTGGGCCAGTCCATGGCACTAGGGAGCAGGCAGTGGCAAACCATTTCTGAAATCTTGCAGAGAAAACTGCAGGGACTTATCCAGCCAATAACTGGGAGTAAAAAATTGATTTGAAGCACCAGACACCAGATTCCCTTGAGATATTCCATACATGAGTAGGAAACTCAAAAGCAAAATGTAAAAGACTAATAGAAAAAAAGTGTGGTGGCAATTTGCAGCCTGTTTTAGTGGTGAGCTGACAGGCTCCTAAAAGAAGAAAACCCTCAAGCTCTCAACACATTGAAAATGCTTCACTAATGGTTTATAGACTATCTTCTCCCAAATGTGAAATATCATTAATCTCCCAAAAGGAACAATTGTACTTTATTTTTAAAAATGCTAACAGGCTATAAGGTATCAAAAAGCATAATGTAATACAATAATGAAATAATTAGTAGGGAATCACGGTTCTTTTTATAGGCTTATTGTAGCTGTTTTATTACTAGCTTTTTGTGGTTGGCTTTCTTTGGATACTTTTATAATTTTCCATAACCAAATGTTAGCTTTTAGGTGTTTGAAGGGGAGAATGAGGTAAAATAACAATTAATATAAATACAAATACTTCTGTAAACAACTTACACAAAATAATAAAGATACGTCTTAGCTGGAAGAAATCAGTACGGCTTCTACAAAATTAAATATTTTCAGTAATTGCCTCCTCTCTGCCACCCTTCAAGTCAGTGTTGACTCCTGGCAACTGCTTGCTGTTTTCTTGGCAAGATTTCAGAAACAGTTTGCCATTGCCTACTTCTAGGGCTGAGAGAAAGTGACTGACCCTTAGGCACTAGCTGGCTTTGTGCCTAAGGTGGGACTAGAGCTCCTGAACGCTCCTTTTCTACCCTGGTGCCTTAACCACTACAGTACATGAAATTGGCTCTTTACATAGTCCCTCCAAAGAGCTAAAAAGCTTCTGATCAAAGCCTGTTTTTTTCTATTGAACACAGCACATGAAGGATAACAGGAGTGTAAATCAGTATTTCAATGATATTCATTTAAGGATCAGTTATAGTCTTCCTACAAATCTTTTCTTTCAACCTGGGAAGACTGGGGACCCTCTAGATACTAATACACCAAACACTGAAAAAGATTAATACCTTCTTTTTCATTTACATAGTCCTGCCTTGTAATGATTGTGGAAAAATCCACTTCAAAAGGATAAAGGGTTAAAGGAAAATCATCTGAACTCTCTATGCAGGTAATAGGTGGAGAAAGAAAGGAAACAAAACACAAATGAGCTAATCAGAAGGTTGGGTTTCTTTTCTTAGGTGGTTATTTGTAAGAGGAGGTGACTCCATCTTGTCTTTCTCTTTTGGGGTGTGTTTTTCTCCTCAAAGGCTGATTGCAAATCAGGTAAGGGCAAAGCAAGCAGCAACTGGCCGGAATCTAATAAATTGGAACAAAATATTAGAATTGACAAAGCTATACTACACTATATAATACACGATCACTTCTATTCAATTTACTAGATTGAGATCAGAGCTACAGTATGTGATTTTTTTTCTGATTTGTGTGGAGAGAGCAACTGACGGGGATTAGACTTTTCAAAAAAAAATTTGTGCTCTCCTTTTTTCCTTTTTGACTTTCTTTTATATTTCTAACTTTGCTATATCTCGTAAAGTTTGAGAATTCTTAATCAGTGATGCTCATTGCAGGAAAAGGGATCTATTGTCTTCTTTGTCAGCCAACTCATCTTACCTTTTTCTCATTACCCTCAGACTGTGATCCAAATAATTTTCAATCCTCATTCCTTAACACTTTTTCCAGAATTTGTTTTTGAAACTCCTGTCCATAAACAATAAAGTAATAAAATACAATAGATGCAGACATACATTTATTTATCAAGTTCATTATGCATCTTTAGATTCCTAGTTGCAGATTTTATTTTAGTATCGAGTTCTGAGTACCATTGCTCAAAAAATGATAAATGACTCCTTCAGTCAAAAGCATTTTTTGTTGTTCTTCCAGCAAGTTTGCAAAATCTATTTAATTAAACTAAGTCCAGACTTAAAACATGACTGAGCATTGCATTTCACACACACCTGAATTCTAATATTGACAGCCACTCGGGAATGCTTTATTAATTCTGTGTAATTATACCTGACAATGTCCATTGGAGTCTCTGTTTACACAGTTGAAGTCTCACAGCTGCCATTTTGAGGAAGAATTACATTTTTTATTTTATTTAATGTTAGGCTGGTGGTCTTTTGTGCCTTACTGGCAATTCTATACACTCCTAGGCAGAATAATAATGCACACATCTGCAAGTAATAAAGCAGGCTATTTATCAACTGATCTGGAGACTGGGCTGGATCTAGACTGGCTGCTTCATCAATGGAAGAAATAATTACATTTCCAGGAACAATCTACACTCCAGAATAGGGTGTTCTGGAAGGGAGACTTTTTTACTGATTTCCCCTTGCAATCCTCCATATTGTTTCTATAACACTGGGGAATTCCTAAGTATTCTAGAATAGATTTTGGGAAGCTAATGGAATAATAAGGGGCCGAGGTGGCGCAGTGGTTAAATGCAGCACTGCAGGCTACTTCAGCTGACTGTTATCTGCAGTTCAGCAGTTAAAATCTCACCAGTTCAGGGTTGACTCATCCTTCCATTCTTCCGAG